CACAACAGCAGGTAAATTACATGTCAATCATAATTCAATACATATCAATTATAATCATCAATGTAAATGGACTCAATTCACCAAATAAAAGAAATAGACTGGCACAGTTAATTAGGAAACACAATCCAACAATATGCTATATACAAGACACACAACTCACAAAAAAATTCATAGGCTGAAAGTCAAAGGATGGAACACAATACTACATGCCCCAGCACCTCATATAAAAGCATGGGTAGCAGTCCTGTTCTCAGACAGTCTCAACTTCAAACCAAGAATGATCAAAAGAAATAAAGAAGGCCACTACATACTGATTATTTGAAAAATACAAAAGAAAGAGTTAACAGTCATAAATATTTATGCCCTAAACATGGGAACACCCAACTATATAAGAGAAATCTTAATGGATATGAAAAATCTAGTATCCAATACCACAATCATAAGAGAAGACCTTAATACACCCTTATCCCAACAAGATAGGTCAAACAGACAAAATATAGCAAAAAAAGTAGCAGAACTGAACCAGAACATGGAACAAATGGACTTAGTGGACGTATACATAGTGTTCCATCCAAACAGCTGAATACACATTTTTTCAGCCGCACATGGAACATTTTCCAAAATAGACGACATACTAGTCTATATATCATGCTTAAGTATATGCAAGAAAACAGAAATTATCCCATGCATATTATCTGACCAGAGTGCAGTGAAACTGGAAATAAAATGATAAAAGAAACCACAAAACTCCCCTAAATACATGGAAATTAGAAATCTTAAAGACATAGGGGTAGATAAAGAGTTCCTGAAGCAAAACCAAATTGCACGAGACCTACTTCAAAGAATCAACAACTGGGATCTCATCTTTCTGAAAAGTTTCTGCAGTTTAAAACAAATCTCTGAGTAAAAAGAAAACCCACAAACTGGGAAAAAATTATAGCCAACTGTCCCTCCAACAAAGGCCTTCTATCTATAACATATAAAGAATTAGCAAAAAAAAAAAAAAATTAGGCTTCCAAATTTAAAGACCCAACTCAAAATGGGCATCTGAGATGGATATACACCTCTCAGAGGAAGAAATACAAATAGAAAGTAAATATATGAAAAAATGTTCAACGTCATTCATCATTTGAGAAATGCAAATTAACACAACACTGAGATTCCTTCTCACCCCAGAAAGAATGGTTACTATGAAGAAGTCAGTCAGGACTGGTGAGATAGCTCAGTGAACTAAATGCCTGCTTCCACAAGCACAGGGATCAAGGTGTGGACATCTGCAAGCACATCTGCACTGGCCCCGGGCTTGGGCATGTTGAGCTAGTCTCACATTCTGGGTGTGGTTGTGCATGCTTGTAATCCCAGTGCTAGGGAGGCTGAAAACAGGAGGGTCACTAGGAGTTGCAGCTGCATAGTGAGACCCCGTAACATGTACATTAAAAAAAAGTCAGCCTATAACAAATGCTACAGGAGCTGTGGAGAAAAAGGAATTTTTCTCCACTGTTGATGGGAGTGCAGAATGGTACAATCATTATGGAAATAAATGTGGAGATTCTTTCAAAAGTTAGAACTGGAGGTTGCATTCCGCCCAGCTGTTCTCCACCTGTGTATTTTTCTGGAAGGAGTGAAAACCTCATACCACAGTGATATATGTGCACCCATATTGACAGCAGCACAATTTGTCATAGCTAAATCCTGGAAACAACCTAGATGTTCATCAACTGAAGAATGGATAAAGAAGATGTAATATGTTTACACATTATTCAACTATAAAACAGGACAAATTGAATCTGTTGTTCATAAATGGATGTAATTGGAGACCATACTCTTAAGTGAAATAAATCAGACCCACATGCGTAAACATCATATTGTCTCTTTAGTGTGAGAACCTAAAAGAGAAAAATGGAATCTGAAGGGTCCAATGGACACTGTGAAAAGGGAATGAACTTATTCAAAAAGAAAGAGTTACTGAGTTGAGGAGAAAGACAGGAGAGGATGTGGGGGAAAGAGATTTCTTTAAATATGTAACCAGGATAGTTTGGACAACTGGACTATGCATTTCTGCTGGTCTATGGAAAGGAGCACACAATCCTTAAATTCTTTTGTTTCCTTTTTTCAATTGTTTGTACTTTTTCTCTTCTTAATTTCGTATGTATTTCTTTCTTTTTTCTTCTTCCAATTTTACATTCATGTATGTGGCAATAAGAATAACTGGTTGGAAGACAACACTATGCATTAAAACAAATACTATGAAATTCATATTTATTTGTTAAGTAAAATTCTGTATTATCTGTATTTTTTTCTGTTTTCATTCTAATTTGGGTTCTCTTTAAATACTAAAAAATAAAAAAAATTGTACCTAAAATTTAGCTGGTCTATGAAGATTCCAGATCTCTGTCTCAAAGGGCTTCATAGTCACCCAGTATGGCATGGTAGATAAGAGCTCAGGCTGTGGATTAAGGTAGATATGGGTACAAATCTTGGCTTTACCATGATCAGATGCAACATTTTTTGACCCTATTATGCTGCTCTGCCATAATAGTCACAGCCCTTCATTCACATGCACAAAAGGGGAGTAAAACTCATGTGTAGCACTGGGAGCCTTCCCAAAGGATACATAATTCCTCCAAATCTCCATGACAAATTTCACTGTACTATCTTCTCCTGTTTCAAATACTCTTGATGGAAAGATTGTTGCATCCTAAGTGTACTGTGAAGGAAACAAAGAATCATAAATGTATTCTAATGTAAGATTATTCATTTATTAAATGTTTAAGATCTTTCTATACCCAAAGTATTCCTTAGCACTTTACGGGGCATGCAGCATGGATTGGGTCACGAAAAATCTATTTTAGAATAAAGTTAGCTTTTACAGCATTTTTATTAGCACATGTTTGTAGGACATAATGTTTACATTCATTGTGGGAAGGCTGTACATGTATATAACATCTTCATTCTCTTTTTCATCTCCTTTCTCTTCCCTCCCTCTTCCTTTCTTCCATCTCTTGACTCTGTTCCCATTTGAGATTCAGTTCTCTACTTTGTTATCTATCTTTTATTTTGCTTTTTGTATTTTGAGGTTTTCATAAAAGAGTAACACTGATATATTTAGGCTTGTATATCTGATTTATTTCACTTGACATTTTGGTCTCAAAGTGCATTCATTTCCCTAAAAATTGCTCAAGTTTATCTTTGTGGTAGAATAGTATTCCATCACATGTAAAGAGCATATTTTCCTTATCCATTCATCTTTTGGTGGACATACAGGCTGCTTGGAAGATTTGGCTATAATGAGTTGTGCTGCTATGTGCTTTGGGGACCTAGAAAGGGAATACCTGAGTTAAATGAAATTTCTAGTTTTCATTTTTGAGGAATCTCCATACTGGTTTCCATAGTGGTTGTAGCAGTTTATATTCTCATCTCCACAGCCTCACTGGCATTTGTTATTATTTGATTTTTTTGATGGTGGCCATTTTATCTGGGATAAGATAAAGTTGCAGTGTTGTTTAAATTTGCATTTATTGAATGGCCAGTGATATTGAACATTACTTCATATTTTTGCCTATTTACTGAAGTATTGAACATTGCTTCATATACTTCTTATGTAAAGTATCTATTCATTTCATCTGCCAATTTGAGTTTCTTGTAGTGGGATCTATTTCTTTTCAGTTTTTATATAGTATAGTTATTATTCTTCTGTCTGAGGAATAAACGACAATTCTTCCCTATTATGTAAGTTGTCTCTTTACTCTGTTGGTTGTTTGTTTTGTGTGCAGAAGCTTTTTAATTTTCTATGATTGCATTGATTAATTATTTTTAATTTTTTTCTTTTAGAATTATTTATTGATACATAGTCTCACTATTCAGCTTTAAGTTGTAGTGATTTTCCTGTCTCAGTCTCCCCACCACTTGGATTACAGTCATGCAACACCATGCTCAGTTTTGGGGCCAGGACAGCATACCTGGGGTTCCATGGCCAGCATGGTATGTGGTACCAGGGATGGATCCTGGGTCCTTGTGCTTGCCAGACAGGTGCTTAGACCAAGGAGCTATCTCCCCAGCCTGCATTGACTGATTCTTGGTACTATTTCTGATACAACCAGGGTTCTATTCAGAAAGACCTTGCCTATGCATATGACTCAAGAGATCTGCCTATTTTGACTTCTGGTACTTTGTGTTTCTCTTTTAATGTTTAGTTCTTCAATCCATTTTTATTTTAGTTGAGTACATGGTAAGAATGGATTTGAAGCTGAAACCACTGGATGACATTAAATTTAAAACTAATATAGTGGGGGCCTGGCCTTAGCTCAGTAGTTTAAGTGGCTGCTTCCACAAAGCTGTCAGCCTCAGGTTGCTGTGGTTCGATCCCCACAACTCTCCAGCCAGCCAAACCAGCCATGAGGGCATTTGGAGCAAAAAAATAAAAATAAAAATAAAAATAATATAGTTAAGATAATCTAAAAAATTAACCAGATAATACTTACTATTAGTGAGTCAATGAAGAAGGAGGCAAAGGAAGGAAGAAATGGAGATAAGTGTTGGACTTATTTGAAGACTGTGGGATTGAGGAAGGGAAAACAAACATGAAAATGTAATTAATAGCCAGGGACCTGATCAACTCTGGGGTTCAAGCAAGTCAAAAAGTGAATAATCTTGCAATCCATCCACTGTTAACTTGCTAAATAGGAATCAGAGAAGAGACAGATTTTGAGAGGAAAAGTGGATTCCTTTTAAATATTTCCATACAAGGAGAAAAGACATCCAGGCTAAACAAGTGAAAGAGATTACAAACTATTTCAGAAGAGCCAGCTGTATATTTAGGACTGAAATGTTGGTGAGAAACACACAAACACAATTTGTAAAGGTGGAAGGACTTATTGAATAGTGGAGGGTGAGAACAGAGAGGAGCACAGTTCATCAACCCACAGGCACGGTCAGACTTTTCAAAGAAAATGTTGGTCTTTCAGAGAACTAAAAGAACAGCTTATGTGTTTCATTTCTAGACCAAAGTTTGGAGGGAAATATTGTACTGGAGAAAGAAAACGCTATCGCTTGTGCAATGTCCGCCCCTGCCGCACCGATGTACCAACGTTTCGACAGATGCAGTGCAGCGAATTTGACACCATCCCCTACAAGAACGAATTCTACCACTGGTTTCCTGTTTTTAATGAAGGTAAGTAGCTGTGCAGTATACCTCGGGGCCGCATTCCTGTGGGTTTCTGTGATGCCCCATTTCCGCAGAGAGGAATGCAAACATCAGGATGCTTTTACGTTTTAGATGATGGTAGCATGGCTCTGGGCAAACCGAGGAGGAAATGTTGAAGGCTGAATATGTTCTGTTCTGTTGTGTGCAAGATGAAAGAGAAGTTTATCAAACAATATTGTTTGCTTCAAAGCAAATGAGGTGCAACTCAGCGGTGCGTGGCACATTTAGATATTCAGGTACTAATTGCATTGATGAGCATGTGGAACTGTCTGCGATTTTGGCAGAAACTCAGAACAGGAGATCATTATGAGTTTGGAGCAATTTCAAAGAGGCTTCCAAGGAAGCAGTGGATGATTCCTGACAATGAGTCATGAATCTAATGAAAAAAGAAAAAGAGGAAGCATTCAAAGCCATTCCAGGTGGGCAAGGAATAGCATGAAAGTCAAGATAATAGGAATGCTTTCATTAAGAATGAGTGTGAGCCAGCCCTGAGCCAGAAACCCACATTTCATAGGGACAGAGCAAGCAGAAAAGGGTAAAAAGTAAAATCAAGTGTCTAAGGAATGCACTTTAGGGACCTAACTGAGCTCAAGAATGTTAATAGCAGGCTTGGCAAAACTGCTCCTGTCAGAACTAGTTACACGTTCTCCCCTGACAAGGAAGAAGAATCTGTGATCATTAGTTACAGGCTAACACCAGAAACCATCATATCTGTATTATGTGTTATGATTAGAACGAGGAATGAGGCAAGAAAGATTTTTCTTGAGCTAAGGAGATCTGAGGCAATAAAGTAAAAAATAGCTGTTCAAATCTTTCATAATTTGTAACTTCCTCTATTAGATCATTATCCAAAAATATTGAGCTATCCTATTTCAGCAAAGTTGAACATGCAGCATTTGATTTAATACCATTGACTTACCTGAGTTTCCTTTGAGAGGATTAATCAGGCAGGGTGAGGGTGAGAGATCACCAATGGATTGGTTGCAGTGCTTTCACCTAGTGGAATTGCAAATGGGCCTGAAAGCTTTGGAAAGCTAAATGAGGTGAGGAATTTCATGACATGTCAGAAAGGATGTGCCAGAACAGATGGATAAATGTGAGACAAAGATAATATCCAATGCTGTAGAGGTGATAGAATACACAGGATTGACCTTTGGAACAGAAAATCTCTTTTGATTATCACTGAGAAATAATATCATCCATTACTATCATTAACCTAAAACAAAGGCAAAGGGGGAGCAGATTTTTATGCTCAGCCTTAAAGCTACTTAAGCAGAACTCAACCTTCAGTTTGCAATGGCTGCTTCAAGCACAGCTTTCTCTCTGGCCTTAGGCACCCCTGTGCTCTCCAAAGTCATAGTGGAGGCTCTGTGATAGGTTCTTATTTCCCCAAGATTACTTACTAGATGTTCCTAAGATTGTATAGACCACTGCACTTATATTCAACAAATATTTGTGTTTTATACGCAATGCTTATTAATTAAACTATCTAACCTTAGAGGATTACTAGCCCTGTTCTTGGGAAAAAGGAAAGAGATTAAAAAGACCTTTCTTCATGGGGATGTGTCAAGATTATCACAGAGAATAGGAGATTATTCAAGTTTTATTATCTAAGAACAGTATTGCTTAAAGAAATATAACAAATTCAGGTGTACATAATGAAACAAAATGAAAATAAATTCCTATGTCCCACCACACTTAGCCTATTCTTCAGACATAACCATTGTTAACATTTTTGTATGACAATAGAATCATCTTTGCAGATTTTGCAGCTTTCTTGATCACTGTGAAGGAGATCATGATTTGGGGGCTTATATCATTCCTCCTGATGACTGCACAGCAAGCACTCCATTACATAAATGCAACTTCCTTGGTCTGTCCATTTCTTTCACTGCACCATGAGCTTCTTTGACTTCCATCGCTAATGTTAGTATTCATTTATAAGACTACCTGAGTTGATAATCTCTTAGAATTGAAAAGATCTCTTTGGTGCTTGATTGAAAAATTTCTCTCTAACATTGTTGATCACTGTCATGTCAGTTAATTGATTGGTAGAAGTGGATTAAAAGCCTTTTTTGGGAGTAATGTTTGGCTAACAATCACAGTGAATGCTTAATGGTATCTACCATGTCATCCCTCCCAAAAGTCCACTGTGCTGATTAGAGAGTAGGAAGGCTTGGAAAGTTTTGGAGATGGGGTTTCAATCCCTATGGATCTAATGGCACTGATGTGTAAAGGAGCCTTCTACAGGCTGTGTTCTTCCTGACTCTTGAGCTTTTCAAGCCTCAACAAGTTATGACTCCTCAGAATTCAGCTACAAGACATACAAATATGCCTTGAGTGCCCATGAGGACATGCAGTTTCATTGAAGAGCCCTTAAAAACCCTAGTCTCATAATTGTAGAACTCAAAGAACCTTAGTAGTTATTGTACAACTGGAACATCTTGAACTGAGGTTTATAAGCGTAGCAAAAGAAAGTTATGGAACCACTTACAGTCTGAGTAGGAGCTAGAATTATTTTCATTAAACCAACAAGATAGCAGGTATTTAGAAAATAGCAAAGCAAATCATTAATTTAACAAATAATTCTTTAATAGTGTCTATATTGAAGTAAGTTGCAGGAAAAGAGAGCATTTTAGGAAGTTTGGAAATTTTTGTTGCTTTTGTTTTTATTTTGAAATAAAAATTGAGCCAAAGTTATACATCTTTTAGAAGCATAGAATGTAAAGGCTACTTACAAGGACCTTTACAATTCTTTGACTTTGTGATAGGAGATGCGTTTGTGATGAAGAGATGAATACCTGTAGCTTCTTGAACATGTACTATGTTTATACTCAGTGTAGTCCTGAATGTGTGACTAAAATCTGTCTTTATTGTCACAATTACCTTGCAAGATAGGTATTATTATTATCCTCATCTTTTAGATGAAGAAACTGATTTGTAATGTGATTTAAGTCACTTTCTCAAGGAAATATTAGATTTTCATGAAATAAAACTTTTAAATATACCCTGTAGAAATAAATGGCACCAGACCTAGTCTTTTCTCTGTACTTTATGCTCCATGAGAGAATGGATCTTGAATTAAAATGGGACCCAAATAGCATGTTAGCAAATTTCCTGGGAATATTCTTATTATGATTTGTGAATAAAACATTTTCTCTTAATCTGAAGAGTGATTACTTTAAAGAATTAATCAAAAATTTTTTCTATGTGAGAAAGAAAACTGTGTCTGTAGGTCAGAAGTTAGCAAGCATTCTGAAAATAAACATGTGATGGGTTAGTTCTGCCATACATAGAGAGATCTTGAAAAGTTTAATATTGCTGTACTCAATTTCTCATCTATGAAATAGGTACTGAAAAAACTGACTGCATAAAGTACTTATGATTTTGAAAAGATATTGGGAAGCTGTAAACAGACGGATCACTATGAGTCTGATCTAGTAGTGAGACCCTGAACACCCTGTAGACTCTTCCCTAAAATACAAAAAGAAAGAAAAGAAAAGATAATGATGATAAAGCAAAACAAAATTTAAGAAATAACATTAAAATATTATAATAGCTGTTTCCTTAACAAAACAAGTTCTTTCTAATTCACTATATAAGCAAGAACAACATCTCTGAATTGCTTTATTCTTCAGAGTTGATCAAACAACACACACATGTTATATCAAGACAAACATTAGGACTTGATGACAAATACTACAATGTCACCATTCTAGCACCATTCTGCTACACTAGTTACTGGATAGAGGATCATTCACTATAAGGATCCACTTATAAAATCAATCAAGATCCAGGGTCTTAAATTTCACATCCTACGTGCCCCCAGTCCTGGCCTTTACCAGCACCTTTGAAATAGACAACTTTTAAAGAAAAGCTCCATCATAGTTTATCTTTTCTTTTAAACTGTGATGGTGGAAAGGAAGAAAAGAAAAAGTTATATAGCTATTTTCTCTTAGTTCATTGAAAAGAAAGATTTGTGGTAATATTGTTTGAAAAAGATACCATGCCTCTATATTGTACTCTGAATTACTACTACAAAGGCAATATGCAGTGTAATAATTAGTGAAACTCTTCTACTAACCTGTTCTGAATCTGTTTTTTGTTGTTATTTTTATTTTTTCTCTTTAAAAGAAAAGAAAAATAAAAGCTCCAGTGTTACTCAGGGCAGCTTTCCTTTCTGTATTACATGTACAAATTCAGAATAGTAAATCTGAAATCTAAAGCTCAATGCAAAGTGTTAATGCATTCTCTGCATTCAGCACATAGATGGGTATTCTCATTCCTGGGAGAGACAAGCAGCTCCCAGCTGACTCCCTACAGGTACTTGTGCTCTAGTATGGGAAGTGACAGGGCCAACTATGCTGCCAGGAAAGGAAATACACAGGAACCTCAAGTTGTACTTTTTCCGCAGTCTTCTGACTCTTTTCAACTGTACTGTGCCCACTGGAATGTTCAATTTATTTTGATTTTGTTTGTCTTTTTTTGGTTGCCTAATATCAAATCATTTAATTTTCTGCATTTGTGTTTACCTTTCTCTTTTAAACTTTGAAGAGATGTGATTAATGTCGATGTCTTCTACAGTTTCAGTCAAATGATCAGAACTTGTGCTCTGTAACATAGTTGTGTGTTTTATAATTGTATTCCCTCTCCGCTTGGATAGTTGGATCCCTGAACAGACATGGTTAGCACTATGCATTCTATCTTTGCAATTGGTGCCTGTCCACGCTCAGAAGGACCCATAACAAATGGCCTTACAGCTGGTATCCGTGAGCCTGCTCCCCACAAAAAAGATCCAAAGAGAATTCTAAGTGAACTCTGAAGGAAACATTCTCCAGGTTTTTGCTTAAAGAAAAACCACATGGAATAAGCAGGTTACTTTAGCTTCAAGGGGAAAAAGCAAGTCTTCTGTGACCATCAATCTGTGTCCAAGTATTTCTTGAACTTGAAAATGTGCAAAAATATTTGTTGGAGATGGTAATCGTATGTTATAAACCAACCTCATGTTACAGTATATCTCTTCTATAGAGGCCCGTATTTTGCCATCAACAGTGAGAAGACATGGTGCTTGTCTGGAATCCTACATCACTGGTTGCTCTCATGTATCTTCTTGGTTAATACTAGAGGCCTACTGTCTTGTTTTTATAAGAGTAGTGTGACAGTTTGATGTTACATTAAGGTCCTAATAAGATCTCATTATTTGTAACTAATAGCAAATAGCATTTTAAAGTGATCTAAATTTAATTAATTTTAAAACTCCTAACTAAAAAGAAAGAAAGAAAAGCACATCTAGATCATAGTATTGTTTCAGCAAGGGAAAAAAATACCAGATTAAATGTCACTTGTGGGTCCTGAGTACAAAAGATTTCTGGGAGAAAGGCGCTGAGAAAAGAAGCTAACTTAAAGCTAACTTTTCTCACTTCAGCAAACCCTTGTGGGCTCTACTGCCGACCCATAGATGGCCAGTTTTCTGAAAAAATGCTGGATGCTGTCACTGATGGAACCCCTTGCTTTGAAGGTGGAAACAGCAGAAATGTCTGTATCAATGGCATATGTAAGGTATTGGGTATGTTTCCTTAATCTAAAACTTTATAAAATCATGACTTTTGTTATTATTAGAAGTCAGATGTTCTAAGCTTATGTTTTCATGGTATTTGCATGTGACCTGGTTTTCAATATGTAATATAAGAGGCATTTTTTTTTTCCTGTGGTTGGCTCAGATGACGTTTGGGTGGGCTGGTGTGGGATATGATGCCAGGAATTGAACCGCAGTCCCTGCACTTGCCTAAGCTTGCTTAAGCAGGTGCTTTAGACTGCTGAGCTATCTCACTGGCCCCAAAGAGGCAAGACTTCTTAGTATATATCAAAAACACCATTTTTGCCAGAGTAGCTTTTCCTTCCTGTTATCACTTTAATTTCTTAATTTGTTGATATTTGATGTGACATATTTTGCATTAAAGCAGAATCATATTGAAGAACCAAACTAAAGGAGGAATTATAGGAAAAGATAGCACAGATTATCTCTGGGTCATTCAACTTGAGAAAATCTGAAATTAACAATAGCTTGGATAGTGTTTTCCACACAGCATCTTAACATTTAACTCTTCACTGATTGTGAACATTTGCCTCACAGAGAGATAGAATGACAGGTAAGCAGAACCCTGGAGAGCATGTAATTTTTCTGTGTTCATGCCTTTGATCAACTTTATCTTTATATAAATCATTTATTTCCAATATATTAGTGTTTTTAAGTATAAAATCATTAAAGAATTCCTTCTTATTGCTTGCAATTTAGTCTGCAAGGAACAGAGGAACAAATCTTCTGATCCAACCCTCAGGCATAAATTTCAATTCAAAGAGGTATTTTTAGCAGGTAAGGGAAAACTGTATAGTAATAACTAATTGCTAGTAAAGGTTAATACTCTAATGCTGGGGCTGCAGACTATCAATTTAATGCCATCATTTCCCACCTGTATGGTCCTGCCTATCTAAGTTTCAATTGTCTGACATAAAATTGGGATATGAATGTATCTACGTAATGGGAATTGTCAAAAAGTTTAATAAGATCATATATTTAAGGCCACCAAGAATAAGCCTAATGTACAATAAACTTAATTCACTTTGTTTCCGCAAAAATACATTACAGATTTTCCCTACTGAAAAAACTGACCCCCATGAAAAGCTCTTTCCTATAAATGTTCAGTATCCTGGGAAACTGTATTTAACTCCTTAGAGTTGCTTTTCTATTTATTTGATTGGTGACAAAAATAATAAGAGTCAAGGTGATAATGCCCAGCACAAATGACCTAACAAAAACCATAGTTAGACTCCAAACATTAAAAACCTCAAACACATTTTCTTTTGAGCCAACAGATTATCACTGTAGCTAGAGAAACTCAAAAACAACATGGGCTGGATTAGGTCTATTTCTGAGAGCAGGAAGATGTGTATCTAGATAATTCAAATTAAAAAACAAACAAACCTCCAATCCTGTCTAAAGCTATTATTGGCTACAACTTAAAGTCACCTGTAGAACTTTAAAAACTACTTATTTCTGGCCCTTATCTCAAACCTATTACTTCAAAATAAAATGGGCCTGGCATCTAGGATATGAAATTTTAAAGTCTCAGTTATTAGTGCATGCAGACAGAAAAATAAATGACATATTGAAATTATATTAACTTTTTTATAGACTTAAATTTTATTTTTTGTACATTTAAGTCATGTTTTATACCAATTGTTAATTTTTTAAATTCTGTATGGCTTAATGTAATATCTATACACATATGGAAATTTCTAGATGATTTGAAACTAGCATGCAAGATTTTAGTATGCTGATGTTAATTTTTTGAGAGTTTAGTTTTCCAGCATTTACTTGCAACTTTTTCTTTTCTTTCTCTTTTTAAATTTATATATTTGGTAGGGTTTCACTATACAGCTCAAACTTGTGGTGGGATCAGTCTCCCCAGCACTGAGATTATAGGCATGAGCCACCATGCCTGGTCTCGGTGGCTGTTCTGTGCACCCAGGGGTGATGCCAGCACAGCATGTGCTGCTGGGGATCAAACCCTGTCCCTGTACTTGCCTAAGCAGGCACTTAATTTGCTGAATTATCTCGCCAGCCTTGATATGCAATCAGGGATCTAACTTTAATTTTTAAAATTTTAATTAAATTTTATCTTTTTGTACATTTAAAGAGAAAAAAACAGTGATACAGAGCCGAGGTCCAGCCTCAGCTTCCAGGGCACAACAACCTGAGGAGAGAGAAAAGCGGGCAGCAAAGAAGAAAGACTCAGAGAAACGTAGTGGGGTTAGGAGGGAAGTCGAGTTTGTCTCTTCAACCCAGAGCAAAATCAGTAGCCTTTATTTATACATGAGTGATTACATAAGCTTTCTTCATGCAAGATTAACAGACTTGGTTTTTCATCTATAAATGAAAAACAATTTAAATTTTGATTAATATGAGTACACAGTATAAACTAAGAGTAGTTAGTCATGGAAACTTAATCAACCATTGTGCTTTCTGTTCTATTTTCTGCCCTACCAAAATGCTCAGCTCTCAAGGTGCTTTCTCACTACCTGAAGATCTGGACTCTAAACTTCCTTGTTGTTGCTAAATATTCTTGGCTTAGGCTTGTCTCTTTTTGCATGTTTACAAGGCAGGAGGCAAGGAGTCAAGAACTTTATGCACTTAATTAAGTTATACCCAAACCTCTGGTGATTGTGTGCTCTCTTTCATGTGAATCATAAGCGTAACAATTCCCAGGGAGGTTGTGGATACACATCTATAGGAAGCTCAGCTTTGCAGATTCTCCAAACTTGATGACTTTGTCAGAGGTCAAGCATTGGATGATGCTCCACAATACAGAATGTCAAATTTCAAATTTCAAAAAATAATGAGATTAACAATGGTTACCATGATGGTCATGGTTATTTTCAAAGTAGTTGTTCAGAGTAGGATTTTCTGC